AAAAAGGTATTAACTATAAACCAGACCATAGGAGATTTTTGGAAAATTAAGCCCTTTTCGACATGTTTGAAAATGATGCCTAGAGTCAGTAAGGCTGTTTTTAATTCGCTGTTCTCTCTCGGCCTGGCATTCATTTGCGATTAACTTTTTTGCTGCTTCAACTCTACGGAGTTTCACTCTACGGACATTGCCTTCCCTGCTACAGGCCCTGCGGAATGGTTCCGCGCACTGCTTACCACTGCACCTTATATGTAGAAATGTAATATTTTTTTAATATATATATATATAAATTCTGTATTTACTTTATCACACTTTAATATAAAATTGAATGAATTCGTGTGCAGCCGTCACCTTGCAGAGAGGCGTTCCATTTAATACAAGCGGCGTAAGTCTTTTCGATCACCTATTAGGCTGAACACAACACGTTGAGTTCAGGTAGCGAAAAAAATTAATTCGTTTTTTTTATTATTTTTTGGTCAAATAAATAATACCAAACAATATTTATTAAGCTTGAGGCCGCGACCCGAGCGTACAAAGCCAGTAGTCTACCCAGTGCGCTAAGTTAGCCTTATGAACTGTGCGCCCGAAATAGTTTGGGTCCTGTTTCGATGACTTCAGCCGTCAAGCTCGTGGTGTTATAATCAACTCCCTGAATAATTCATTGCACAGTTTTCCAGTTTTTTTTTTAAGTTACGAAAAGGTGGCAACTCTCTTCAAAAATATTTTTGGTCCTTTTGTTTGATACCCACATTGTTGTAATATTTCATCTAACTTAAAAAATAGCTGATTTTAACTTTTGAAAAAGTGGCAGCCCATTTCATAAAAATATCCTATATGCTAAGCCCAGGGCCCTCTCTCACCGCAAAACCATATTAAAACATTTTGTTTGAACTTTAAAGTAAATTGTATTTGAGCTTCCTAAAAGGTGGCAATCCTCATAAAAAAGAATAGAAATGAATTTGTCTTAGACCATTCTGCTTTGGTACCCATACTAAAATATTTGATTGAAATAGTTAATCAACTGGATTTAAAGTTTATGGAAAGGTGGCAACACTCTTCAAAAATAATTTTGAAATATATTTTTGTTCGACACCCACACTTGAAAAAAGTGGCAATCCCCTTCAATAAATATCCTATATGTAAATCCTGGTCATAACCTATAAGTACGCCAAACGTCATTGCAATACGTCCACCCATTTTAAAGTGAAAAAGCTGCAAACAAACACACGCACAAACTTTCACATTTATAATATTAGTAGGATTTCATAAGCACTGTACGAACGGAAAAAGAGTAAATTAGAAAAGGAATTAATGAGTGAAAAATAGAAAATTTTTATCAAAGAGACCACAATGTGAAAATGGTAGCATGAACAATGGAAGTAATTTACGTCATTACTTCGAGATTATGAAAAGAAGAAAGCTGTAAATATTTGCATTTTTTTTTGTATGTTTTCCTCTTAGCCCGTAAAAACGGCATAATTTAGATGTGGTTGGCTGCGGGAAAGTTTAAAGCACAAACACACTTTAAGCACGGACAAATTGACAAATAGTTCGATACAAAAAATTTGGTTGGTCAATCCCGCCCAAACAAACTTTTGCATACTTTTCAGACATACACACATACTAAAATTTGAATTCCTTATGTATACATATGCAAACGAAAAACTATTTTTTTCTTTTAATTTTTTTTTCAGTGTGTTGCAAAATTGTATCCAAAATCAGCATGCTGCATTGAGCCGTGCACCCGCCAAATCCATGATTCAATAATTATTATTGAATTATGCTCCAAATCAGCTTAATACACCAACAGAAGGAGAACTGCGTCAATAATAGATATCCAATACCGGGATTAATATTATCCTGCCCCCACTAGCGCAGCAGAGATTGTTTATGTATGTAAATCATGACGAAATAAAAAACAAAAAGAAAGCAGAAAAATAAATTCAAACGCAAAGTCAAATAAACAAAACCCAAAATTCATAGCAATATTTATACAAAGACGCTCGATTCACATATTCCACCAACAGCTATTGCCATAGAGGCCACGGATGTTGTTGAAAGCCTGCAGCCCTTCAACGTGGGTTTTTGTTATAGTGGATTCGAGAGCAGCGATGGCGTCAGTGGCAGCACAAATTCTCAGTCGGCTGGTATTGACAGCTTTGAAGAGGATCTGCGAAACAATTATTCGCACCTCATTGGCTTGGATTTGTGCAATCAGGCGCTACTGCTCTGCGGTGTGAATAATTGAAGTAATGCAAGTAATGGAAACCGATATAAATGCTTATATTGCAAGTGCGTAAAATTGTCACTCATTCGTTTTCCTATGTGTGCGAGCAAATGTGTTGCGTTGCATAGCAAATTTTAATATTTAAATTTAAACGACATTTAGTTAACAAATTTTTATAGCAAAAACATTTCAAGCAAAGTGTTTTTTTGCCTTCATGCGTTCGATAGTCTACATTTGTAGCATTTGCGACGAAAATTTGTAATAAAAAAATCAGGGTTCGTATCTGCACACACATGCTCTGCTCACACACACGCCAGAAACACATTCAACTTCCCAGCAAACAGTTGGAGTCATAAATGAGTCTTTAAGGAGTCCCATTTCGGAGCCGTTGTGCTCATTATGAGCTCATTTAAGAGTCCGAAATGAGGGTGTTTCCCTTCCTGCGAAGGTCGTCCTATATGAGCTTAAATTCATACATCAAATGAGCCTCAATATGAGTCATATTGGACTCTTATTGACCTCATATACGGCTCATTTTGGACTCTTTTTGAAGCTCTTAAATGACTCTTATTGGCCTCATAAATGCCTACTTTCGGAGCTCCTTGTATGCTGTTCTGTGACTCTTATTGGCTTTATTCTTCAACTCTCTTAATGAACTTACTTTAGAGCCATGTTAGCAAGGAATTCATTTCAAATACTGTTGCATATTTATATACAAACCTCTGCGCATACATATATACATATGTTCATATATTGCAGCATTCATGTAATAGCAGTTGCTGCAGCTAAATTTTGTTTATTTTTCCTTCCTAATTATTTTTCATATCTGTATAAACAAGTTTAGATATAAATTTCTAGTCGTTATTGTTTTTATACTGGCACAAAGTGCTGGCTCATAACTTGGATCATATATGACTCCTAAAAGATTCATATAAGAGTAAAAAAATGTTTGTTTTTGAAACTCATATTTCTTACTTACCTAGGACTCCTTTCCGACTCATATATTCTGAGCGCTCAGAATATGTTTGCGGGGTTATTGCGCACATGCACATGTGTGTGAGCCGATTTTTGTACAAATTTCAGCCCATGCACATGCACATAATATATTTTTAAAAGAATTTGTTTATTACACGTTATTTTTTGAAAGACAATTCAATAAGAAGTGAGATGTTGTTTGTTTTTTATATGACAGAAAACATATTAAAAAATTATTTTAAGATTTGAGATAGAAATCGAAGTGTATAAGTTTCTCTACGCAAAGCACACACATGTGCGTGTGCTTTATATTAATAAAAATAAAGTACACACATGTGCCCGTGCTTTTTACCAAACAGCACACACATGTGATGTGAGCAAGTTTTTAAATTTTTATATGCACAGCACCCGTGTGTTAGCGTAAAATGTTAGGATGTGCTGCTCATGTGTGTGCAAATACGAACCCTGAAAAAAATAATACTTCCACTACAGCCGTTTCCGAGGTTAAAAAGTTTATTTCAATGCTCATACAAATAAAATAATTTCGCAGAAAGCGCAATTCAGCAGTGCGCACTCCCTTCCAATTACATATTGTGGCATTCACCAAAACACTATGCAAATTGTTTGGCATTCAAATGCGCATAACACAATAAAGCGGCACAGAATGAAAAATGGTAAATGCATAAATCAGAATACGGGTTTGTAAATCAGGAAATTTTGAACGCAGTTTACAAAGGATTTTTCTGAATCTCAAACTGTGTAACGGTACATTCGATTAGTGCCTGTTTTGCCATCCACACAATTTCCACTTTTATTCAATAAAAAATCTCAGCAATAACAACTCAATACAAATTTCTGAGCAATTATACTTTCTACTACCAGCAAGGAACCGGCTGCACTGAGAAAAAAAGTTTAGTTAAAATTGCCAAGATTTGGCCAAAGTAACCAAATAGTTGGTGCAAGTCTGCAATTTACTTGAGACTTTTAGTTCGGGCAAATGTGGTTATAATTAGCAGGACATTTTTGAGGAAGAATAAACAATGCTTTGGTTGCTACAAATTTAACTAAAATTAGTTTTGTGAACTCGTTGGAGACTTGAATCGAATAATAGTTTTTAATTGATAAAAAAGTTTGAGTTTTTCTGAAGGAATAACTTAGTTCAAGGGGCAAAAATTAGGTTCAAGGTAACAGTCAAGGTAACAAAATTTAAAAAACCGCATGGCCCAGAATGCGTTGTTGGTGAATAGATATTCCTCCGCTATCGACAATAAAATCTTAATTTTGTTAATTAGCATAAATCCTAAATTTGCAACATTCATTTCTGAGAGTTTGTCGCTTCGGGCGAAAACTTTGCCGAGAAAAATTTTTTGCTGGACGGGTATTGTAGCGGAATCCACAATAAAATTTGCAGTCATAAAAAAACACGTTCTTTTCTAGTTATGGAAAACAAGTTTTTCAAAAGTAAAATCATTGCTTGTTTTCTTTTCTGCAGAAAATGTTGCAAGTGCCCTGCGCTATTCTTAGTGTTATTAACTTTCTTACTCGAAATGAAATTTTCATAAATTGAAAAATATTGTGCTCGAAATTTAATTCTCCCGGAAAATTAAAAAACAAAATGGTATTGACATCTCTTTACTATAAGCTAGCGCTATTTCACTATAGTATTATCCCATAAAATTTCGTATGGCCATATTTGACTGCAGCAAAGAAGATAAATCATTCGAATTTACATTATTTATACATAGACAAACTTATTTTAATATTTAGTGTTTCACATGGTAAGCGAATATTTACAAACTATCGCACACAACTCTGAAAACTAAGAGAAACTCTGAGCAAGACCATTAAATTGCAGCTCACAATCCAGTGCCTTCCTGGAAGGTGAATACGCCCACAAAAACCACGATAATAACAACAAGAACCCAAAGAGGTTTGCTAGGGGCTGTACTCAGCTGCCGACGATATCAAAACTTAAACGGAAACCAGACTTCGGATGTCAGAACCAAACCTAAATTCGTGCATTAAGCGTTTTGCATGTATGCTTTTCTCTCTCTAGCGCATCAAATTCATAGATGTCGAAAGAAGACGCCTGAAAATTTTACGCTCTCAAACCGAAACGCGGTTGCCTCAACCACACACCATATGTTGAGAGAAAGCTTATCTGTATTAGCATAACACAGTCAATCCATTTTATGAACCATACGTTAAGTTGAATGGAATTTGTAGAGGTGTGTATCAAGATAACATTAACTAATACTTACCAATCACCAAAAATCCTTCAACTAAATGGACGATTTGGCGCAACGTAGACTAAATATCGACAGGTTTAATATATATTAATATATTTAGTTTCAATTGCCAAAACTCGATAATACAAAGTTCCCAAACCTTGGTAATAATTCCCAAATATTGTCCAAATTCGGCACTTAAATTATTTAGTTGGCGAAACTACACTCGTTTTTCAATGACAACAAATACCCACCAATTCAATTTAGAAACGAAGTCAAACTACTGCATGTGCAACATAGGGAACATCGCGGCATATCTAATATTTAATCATCCACGAAATTCAACTAACTAAGTAAAATTAACATAAATGAAGGACAAAAACTCAAAGGAGAAACGAAAAATTACACTGAAAACGACACAACGCTGAAACCGGTTTTTCTTCAAACTAAACTTGACAAGGTATGACGGAAATTCGTTGCAAAATAAATCTTCACTTTAAACCTTTAAAATTACCCTAGCCTGTTTCCCAAGAAGCAAGCCCACTAACCCCGTGCCACAAATATTTATGTATGTTCGTCGGCACTCACGGCTATATTAACGTGAAAATATGCAGGGCACATACCATGCATCCATACATACGTGCATACATATGAATACATATTAGGGTGGAAAAGTCGGAATTTTATTTTTCTATATCGTAAAAAGTATACCCCAATTTTTTTTATCAAAAAATATTTAGATGTCGCCCAAAGCGCTCAAAGTTTTCTATGTATTTTATATGGGTAAAAACAACTTTTCGTAGAAATGATATCGAATTTTTGAAAATCTATTTTTTTCGTTCGGAACACTTTGGTTCATTTCAGGAGACTTCCAATAACAATACACAATTGTTTACTAAAGATTTTTTATTTATCCCCCATTGCATTGCCTGGCATTTTCTGCTGATCTTAGGCGGACTTATAAAATATAGTCACTATGAAAAATTGGTTAAATAAATAATTGGATAAATATTTTTTGATTTCAAAATTAAAAAATAGAAGCATATTTTTTCGAGAGGACATGCATTTTCGGACCACCCTAATATACATACATATGTTTGCATGTACAGATTTTTTTTAGGATATGCTTGTTGGTATTTTCGGATGAAAGCGGCTGCGAGTATCCTCTGCAGTGACACATTAAACACGCCCTGCTAGGCTTAATTGCAACATTTGCATGACTGACTTGCCGTAACCTAGTGTGTTCACCTGTGTGATCTTGTAGAAACATAAGTTGCTTAAATGTGAAATATTACAAATCTGCATCGTGTTGTTTCAAGAAATTGTCAGAAATTCGGATTTTAGGTACTAAGGCGAAATAAAAAAAGTTTACTCACATACATATATGTATGTATATATGGATATACATACATATATGCCTACCCTGGTGTATACGCGTATTTGTCTTTGCTGAATATTTATTTACTTAGTAAATCAGAGTTCAGGTATTTTTAATATTACCGTGTGCTTTCACATCAAACAAGACTCACCGAAATGTGTTGACAAGAGTAACGGCAACACAACACATATAGTTAAATATTCACTGCATATGTACTTACGTATGTATGTACATATGTATCTAGTTTGAAGGATATATACAAATTTCAAATTTTCATTTTACCGTAGTGGAAATGCTTCATTTTAAACAATTTAAAGCTAAGAAAGCGGGTTTAATATGTATGACTAGTGAACCCGCATGGCGTTAAAATACCCAAAATGAATTTCAAAAATTTAAGAAATATTCCAAATGTTAGTCAAAGTTAAAAGAGATCCGAGTGCCACATTTCATCAAAACCGTGTAGCAGTCTCGCATATTGCATGTTTTTAGTTTCATCGAATTTCTAATCACCCTATACCGATGAAAAAAAATTCTTAATTAAAAAAATAAAACTTTATCATACAGCTACAGGCTAAGGTCTCAAATTTGACCTCTCATTTTCAAAAGCATTCTCAAACTAAAATCTTCTTAAATCTCTTTCGTCCGGCATTGTGATGCACAAGTATTTTAATAAACTGATAAACTTATTCGAATTTGAATGTTCGAACAAATGGCTAGCCTTCTAAATACAGGCCAGGAATAAATCCCTTTCAAAACCACTTCGATATACACCCTTTTTTTTTAATTCATCCCACTTACTGAATAACTTGAATATAAGTTTTTAAACACGTGGCAACTCTCTTAAAAAATTCGAAATGCTCAAACTAAAAATTTCTTGAAATTCTTTCATTTAACTACCGCATTTTTATATTTCATATACTTTTTGAATTAGTTAATGGAGTTAGACCTTTCAAAGAAGTGGCAGCCCTCCTCAATATTATTTTCATTGCTAACTTTCCTTCGCCCGAAATTGCGATACAGTTCTATTTAACTGATGAATTAAGTGAATTTTAATTTTCAAACTTGTGGCCACCCCGCTAAATATAGTTCAGATATAAGACATTTGCAAACCCCCTTCGATTGATACCTATAATTTAATAATTCATTTAACTTATGAAATAATTTGAATTTAACTTTCTAATTAGGTAGCAACCCTCTTCCAACCCCTCAAAAATATTCTTAGCGTACAAACTAAAGATCTCTTAATACTCCTTCGTTTGATATCCACATTTTGATATTTCGTATAACTTGTGTATAAGTAAACTAAACTCGACATTTCAAGCTGGTTGCAACCCTCTTCAAAATAATTTCAAGCTACTACTTTCTAAAACCGTTTGGCACCCATGCGGTAATACAAATTTCTCTTACTTAATATGATTTTTTAAACAGGTGGCTACCCTCATATTGTTAAGTTAAGAAACGAAGCTTTTTAAAGCCATTTCGATTGATACCTATTTTGTAATGATTGATTTATTTTTTTAAATAATTTTAATGTAATTTTTTAAAATATGGCAACTCTTTTCAAAAATATAAAACCTCATTGCATATCTGCAGTTAAAGCGTTTTAATTTGTCACCTCATTTTTGGAAAATCGAACGAATGGTGCGGATTTTATGGCATTTATTATTAAATAATTTGAAATGAATTTTTCAACAGGTGGCAACTCTTTTCGAAAAACTAAAATAAGTTTGCACATCAACAGACCAAACGGTTCAATTTGACATCTCATTGTTGAAAATCGGGCGAACGGTACAGATCTTTTATACTGAACAAAAAATCCCTTCGCGTATTATATATACATGTAGATTATTAGAGTCCGACCGAATATTCGGCTTCGGTTTGCCGATTAATCGGCAATATTTTCATATTCAGCTGAATGCTCGGCTTCGACAAAACGACCGATGTTTTTACCGAAGTCGAACTTTTTTTCCATCTAGATTTTTTTTTTTTAACATGTATTATAATTTAAGGGTACAAATTTATTGTAAGGCCATTAAGCTTCTGTTTCGTCGTGGGAGTATTTCACTCCCCAACCAATAGCAGTCCTGTTGAATTTTTTTTTAGTAAAGAATATTTTTTTTAGGCGCCAAATATCAGCTATACCAAACCGCCATAAATTTTTATTGCTTCTACCCAAATTTAGTGCCAATTTTTACCAACACTCAAACCAATTAATGCTACGAAAACATATTGAACCTCTTCATTCCATTACACTTCCTTAGGTATGCAAGAGTATGGTAGAAAAAAAAAAATAAATAAAAAAGCAAAATGTGAATGGGGTATTGGTTTAACCGTCTATGTAGGTATGCTCTTTCAAAAATTACTACTGAAAAAAAAACAAGAATTAAGTATGTACATACATTAAACAAAAAAGGATAAGTCAAAAAGAGACACCGAAAAAAAACCACGCCAAATGCAAAAGCAAACACTTTCAAATATGAAAGGAAGCGCAATCATAAATAAAATGATTGACAGGCAGATTTGGGATCTAAAAGAAACTTGCTTACAAAATAAAAATTAAATAAAAAAAAACGCACCAAAATTCAAAACAAAAACTAAGCAAAGGTATGCAAAAACTCTTCAACGTCAAGATGGAAAGTAAAGCTGAACGTAGAAAATGCAAAGTGAACCCAAAAGCTTTGGCTAAGTGCGTATATACATATATTTGGTGGCGTTTGTTTGCTTTATTTTGTGGCATCGATTTGCGGGCAGTTTGCTAGAACGCATCAAATCCAACTTGGTTACGCATTATATCAGCCTTGCTCACACAACATTTACCAGCAAAAACCAATATAATTCATGCTCCATTAGCTTTTGTGATCTTTTGTTGTTATAAGGGGTATTCTCGAAATCTCGCAAAGCCGTTGCACGTAGCACGGAATGCACGAATTGCATTACTTGAAACCCACACAACCAAAAAATACATGGGCAACAACATTTCCTATCGCTGCAAAATAAGCAACGTCGAAACCCATGTATATATTTTGCAAAAACGCAAAGCAAAATAAATGCGACGCTGCGCTAGTGGTTCTTTTGTGGGATTTGATACATATTTCGCTCATTCCTCTCATCTCGCTCACTTCATTTTTTTTGCTGTATCTTGTTATTATATTTGATACCGAATTTCGCTGCTTGCTACCTATGCATGCTGCAACTTTGCAATGGGATGCTCTCGCACTCATCGAAATTTGGAATAGTATGTTTGCAATTCGTGCAATCCGTGCATCG